TTGATGTGTTACTCCTGCTAGCCTTGCAAGACGCATTGTCTGGGAGCATTAACGTCGTTCTTGAGTCTGGAACACCGCCATGTCCTCCAAGAAGAAATATATTGGCACCGGAGAGGGTGTTCCGTAGTCTCAAAAGATTCGTGGCGTGGGCAGCCTCTGTTGACGACCCCTGCACATTTATTTATTTATTTATTTGTATATATACAAAAAGGTACATTGGGATTGTGAGATTGCATAGCATAGTAATTACATTCTTGTAAAGCCACTAGTACGCGCAGCGTTTCGGGCAGGTCCTTAATCTAAGAAATTTATAAGTAGGTAAATACTTGCAAAATGTATAAAAATGATAACAGTTACATAGCATGAAAAAAATAAATAAAAGATGAGAGAAAAATTGTAGGTATATTAAAGCACATAGGTAGCTCAGAACGATTGCAATGACAACTTGAATGGTAGTTTAACAAAACTTAGCAAGCACAATAGAGCATATGGCTAGCACATGTTTCTTGAAGTGACACGAACATTTCTGTGAATCTCTCTATGAACATCCCAACGCAAGAGGGACTCCGTGTCTCTGATTTACATGAGAAGTGGACATTATACTGAGTGCCGGCGAGTGTTGTCAAGCGCGGGGAGGCTGCAAGGGATTTTGAAAGCAAGTTCTCTTGTTGCACAAGTTTGGAGATTACAGTGAGTTGACCAACACTGGCAATGGTGGATTATGTGCAAGGCAGTACTCAAGAAACTGTCTCATATAGCAGTGCTGGCTGCCAGTTCGCGGTACAAAAGCAGTCAAGGAAAGCATCGTCTTAAGTCGGTTTGACCCCGGGTAAAAACATTTGCAATTAAGGGGACTGTACACACTCACGTAAGGTCTTGTATTCCCCTTGTCACTGACTAGTAATTATAGAACCCCCGTGTTCCTGAGAGACCTGGCTGTGTCAGGTAAGCTGGTGTAGGAGGTGGGGGCCAAGAGCTAGATACTCCCCTCGTAACGTCCGTCAGCACACTGAGGTCACACGTCAGCTGACACTGGTTGTTTATTTACTGTGAGGTCGAGTTGCCAAGTAGCAACACAAAAGGTCATTTTTACCATGGAAGTTTCAGTGACATTTCTTGCTAGTTAATTCTGTTTTTAATGTTTGATTGATTTTAATGCTTGATAACATTAAATAGCAGTACGTAAACAGGATAATGTGAGTCAGCGTTCATTAACAGGCCAGGCAACACCTACAGCAAGGGTAACTACCCTTTTTGAGAGCGAATGCTCTAATTAGCAATAATCTTGCATATTAATTACCTCGTGAGGCCATGAGAAATTTGAGCTGATTATAATTTATTACTGTATTTGTATTTTACAATTTTGTTTACTGAGAAACACCAAATTGCTTTAAAACATTCTTAAAGAAGCCTATTTAGGCAACCAATAACTCTTCAGAATTGTTTTAAACAGCACAGCTTTAGGAATTATTACATGGTATTAATAACTGGTAATTCCCAAGGAGTAAAATTAATGTTTTAGTAACAATAATAATGAACTTTTTAATGAAAAAGGCGTCTTTTCTCTTATTTCCACTGTCAAGTGTCATTTATTTACAAGTGTCAAATATTCCATTTTAAATGATTTTTCACTGTCAATTATTTTCTAAAAAGCTCTGCATGTTCGATTTGGATTGGAACATTTATTATATTATTACTGTTACCAATATTTGCTATTGAGTTATGTATGTATGATTTAATTAATAGTTGGGGGACATTTAATTTCTATTCGATGCTGTACATTTATTTCGGAAAACACGAATATAAAGAGCTATGACATGTTTAGAACCGATAACTATATGTACGGGCAGCATAAAACATCCACTAGACAGTGTGATATTGTAACTGCCAGAATTAGGCTGGGATATCGATATCTATGGCAGGTGGATGCATGCAGGTAATGAATCCCCCTAATGGTGAACATTCCAATTGTAAACTATGTGAACAAGAGCTAGAACATTGTTGACCAGACCACACACTAGAAGTTGAAGGGACGACGACGTTTCGGTCCGTCCTGGACCATTCTCAATCGACTTGAGAATGGTCCAGGACGGACCGAAACGTCGTCGTCCCTTCGACTTCTAGTGTGTGGTCTGGTCAACATACTTCAGCCACGTTATTGTGACTCATCGCCTGCAGCTAGAACATTTCTATAGGACTGCAATACGAAGTAGCTGTGGATCTAGACATGGGCCTGTTGCAGACATGGGGGACTGCCAAAAGTTTTCTGCATGGGAAACTTGCACAGCTATGACGCAAGAGCAATCAGTAGGAGGGTTGTTGTTGTCTTCAGTAAAGCTGTGGCTTCTTTGTCCCTAATAATGCACCCAGCTGGATTATCTGTTAGCTTTCAGTAAAGTTGGTCTAAGTGCTGGGTCTGCCAGGGGGGGTACCCAATTTTGGGTTGTATTCCACGTAGTGAGTGTCATTTATCCCTGCTTGTCTGGTAGAATTTCCTTGACCAGGTCTTCTGATGCTGAGGATGAAAATACGAAGGCTGGAATATCTTTTTTGGGTGATAGTGTGGGTACCAAGGCCACCGAGTCTAACTGAAAGAGTGGCTTGTTTCTACTACTACAGTGTACCGATATATATATATATATATATATATGTGTGTGTGTGTGTGTGTGTGTGTGTGTCAGTGTATATAATATATTAGGGGTACCACCTCTGGTGCAATTGTAGGGACCCACAGCCTCGATGAAGAAAATAAAGAGTATTCAGAGAAGACCTTGTGGATTCTCACTGAACACTTTAATCTTTTCCTCTCCTACCACCCCCAATATTTTTTGTTACATATATATATATATATATATATATATATATATATATATATATATATCCAAAATTCATTTTTATTTCTAGTCTGACGCGACACGGGCGCGTTTCGTAAAACTTATTACATTTTCAAAGACTTCACAAATACACAACTGATTAGAACGTTATTTAATAATATATATATATATATATATATATATATATATATATATATATATATTTGTTTTATTTAATTTTATTACAATGCTACAGTTTACAGAGAACACACACATATATATAACAAAATAACAATCAGTGTTCAAAGAGCTCGTCCATCTCCTCGGAGGTTGGGTGCGTACCCAGGATACAGCACGCATTTCCCCTCTTAACTGCAACACTGAGGCGCTGGAACAGGAAACAGGCCGCTTGTGAGTCTTTAGTTTTCCCAATGAGTTCCTCGCTGACTGCAGGGTGACTCCATCTGGACGTTTTTGGCTGTTGTCTAGTTTGCACAACTCAGGTTCCCTTTGTGCTGGACACCCAGCTGTAGCCAAACTTCTCTTGATGATGTCACTGACTGCTTCATGTCTGGCAATCTTTCCCTGTGTCTTACGACAGATGAGACCATGGCTGCCATATTGGTCTGCCCGTGCATGGCCGCAAAAACACCGGTGTTCGGTAGAGATAGGGGCGGCAAGGCGCGGGGTAACACCAATACTTAGGGCCCGACGGTCCAGGTGGGTGCCCAAGGCAGAATTAGGGACTGCTAACAGGAAGTCCCCAGCATGGGGGGCTTGCACAGCTAGGAGATGCACTCTGTCCTTCTGAGAAGCTGCCTCCAGCAATGCTTTTGTGATGTTCACTATGGGGCTCTCTGACATATTCCACGTGTTATTAACACTGCTTACGAGGTAGACCTGCCTCCGCTGAGCCTCCAAGCAACTACAGTATTTAAGTTTTGCCTGACCCTTTACTTCTGATACTATCTGGATGCTACGTAGTTTACTTGGTGGTATATTAATGTAGTTTTGAGTTATCATTTGTTTTGAGTAATGGTTATACAGTATACTGTACTTGAGTTTCAGTCCACTATGCCGCTACATATACTGTATATATATTCTCTGAGATATTAATGTATGCCCTGATATATTTTTTGAACATTTTATGTACTGTATTATAGATATATAAACTTATGTATTTATATGTATGTCATGAGCTTTCAGTGTTAAGTATTTTAATTGTAATTTCTGAATAGCAAATGCTTAACCCTAGTCACCATTAAAATACCAGGTTATTATTTACAGTACTAATAAATTTATGTAGGCTATACAGTACTGGATGACAGCTTCTCCCCCATATCAACCTACCCTGGCTTTGCGCCCTGGAGAAGCCACTCTAGATCGACAACAACAAAATCACAAGTCTATAGTCTCCCGAGACTGATGGATGCCTACTACTATACAGTACTATGGAAACACACAGCAACAGGCGGTTACATCCTAGCCATTAGGGTGGCACTGTATTCTAAGTGAGAGCCAACAATAATAACACCATCACACGACTCATGTTATTTATGCCAATACTGAACTTCTAACTAGGGTATATACAGTGGTGGAGACAGTGGACAATTATGGTAGCTGTATGTGGTTCTGGTGGTATGTAGTAGTTGTTGTATGTGGTAGTAGTTGTTGTATGTGGTGGTGGTATGTGGTAGTAGTTGTTTGTGGTTATGGTGGTATGTGGTAGTTGTTATATATGGTGGTGGTATGTGCTAGTTGTTGTAAATGTTGTATGTGCTTGTGGTGGCAGTAAGTCAGAGATGGTAGAAGAAGGTATTATAAAGCCATTAGTACAGTATCCGACTTATCATATTTATCCATCTTTATGCAACCCGTTATCGTTATAGCACATTGCATTTTGACGTATACTTTACCCAAGGCCAAAAACTGATGTACAAGAAAATGGTAACAGCTTGCAAAAACTGACATACTGTAGTGTTCCATTTTCTGTCCATAGGTCCTCTGGTTTTGTTTGGTTAGGGCACTTTAATGCAAGAGTTTCTTGCAGTTGAGAATTGCTTGTGAAAACGGGTCTCATTTATGATCCTATTTTGAGAATTACTATGCATCAATGAATTAACATTTAACACATTCATAGTCAGACAGAGCTGGGTGTATCAAAAGGATAAAAAATATATATCAGTATTTATATGCAGCTGAACTATTTATTTGAGAAATGTAATTGTGATCCGTTACAGGTTTAAAAAATGGCATGTAGATTTTGTACCTTAGAAGGCTGACTGGGCACATGCACCAATATCTTTGTGAACCAAATATTGCAACTTAGCCTAGTCATGCAGAAAGGGTCAGGGTAAGGGATTCACATTCATTTTGAGCTCTTCCCAAATAAATTCTTACACTTCATGTCAAATGCTATTTTTTGTACAAATCTAACAAAATCTATGTGGTTAGCCTAGTACTACCTCAACTAATCTAAGAGGTACATTAAGAACTACCTCAACTAATCTAAGCGGTACATTAAGAACTACTTCAACTAATCTAAGAGGTACATTAAGAACTACCTCAACTAATCTAAGAGGTACATTAAGAACTACCTCAACTAAACTACAACAACAATACCTCACACACAAAAACCTCTAACATTAATTGCCTTTTTTTATTAAGCAGACAAGAACAGTTAATAATAGACTAGTTAATTAGATTCACTCATTTGTATAACAAATTTTGTAATTTTGGGTAATTACAAATGCCCAACCCTAACCCATTCAATGCTACACAAAACAAAAATAAAATAAAAATGAGTCTCCACGAACTATCGCATTAAAGTGTTATATATATGCCAGATAATACCCTCTAGGCAGAGGTTTCGCATTTTGTATAACAAGACCTCTATACAGTATTGATAAATCAAACTCTTGCATTTCTCACATTTGCTACATTTGTCACGTAAACCTCAGATCAGTCACAATGCTAACATATTAAAAGTGCTTCTACACTTAACAATATGGTATATGGTTATAGGTTAGGAGAAAATAAACATGAAAGATTACATTAAACATCAACTTATATAATCCACATCTCAAGAAATTATATATTCATTAATATTTGAGAGGAAACTCAACCTAAACTTATAGCAGCCATGTGAAATAAATTAATGCACCAGCAGAAATGTATGCAGATATACTGTACACAATATTATAAGCAAAAAATGGGGTTTTCATATCAGTAATTTGATTAGTTCACATAAACCTAATTTTGTGATACAACTTCAGAAAACTGGCAACACTGAACAATTATGCAACTTTGATAATCGTCTCTGAATAAAGGGACAATACTGACAGTAAATACTGTACAAAGATCAGAAGCGAAAAACCTTGCTTTGTCACAAGACCCGTTTAGAATCCCTCTGGGATGTTTTTTCCCAACGTTGAATACTGTATTCACACCACTGTCACGTTCCCGATATTGCACAACTATCTATCTTGTCTATGTATGTCAAAGTCCCTTCAGTTGTTCTCTGGTTCCCCCCCCGTCTTAACTTAGGGCAGGTACTCGTGAATAAAAGCGTCTTCAGCAGCTACTTTTCAAGGATGTGACGAAAATGACCCTGAAACAATAAATAAAAAATCAGTTAACAAATTACGAGATTATGCCATGATAAAATTTAGTGTTATACAATAAAGCAAAGTATATAAGATGCAGTACTGTACACAGTTCAATATTGGATAAAAAATCCAGACTTGTGTATTTGTGAAATTTATGTACAGAATTTACACCAAGTCTGTCGCACTCTCCTGAGTGCGTTATCAAGGTCTGAGTGTGTGACTAGGACAAGACTTACATCTCGTTGTCTAACGTCTCAATGTTGATTAAACGATGAGATGTAAGTCTCGTCCTAGTCACACACTCAGACCTTGACAAAACACTAAGGAGAGTGCGAAAGACTTGGTGTAAATTCATTACATAAATTTCACAAATACACAAGTGTAACTTTTTATCCAACGTTATTATGTCTGTGAGAAGACACTACCATTACCAGTTCAATATTAATACTGTATATAAAAACAATAGAGGAAACTATAAAAGTATATTACATAGTAATCTGTTTCATAAATCAACAGCAGTTTCCAAACCAGTATTTACCCAGATCTTTACGAATCAAAACCTATTCAATTTTTTTCCATTATCAAGTGTTTTTATTTTGTGTGTGTGTGTGTGTGTGTGTGTGTGTGTGTATATATTTAGCACCTATTAAAACAATTAATTCCTTTGGTATACACAGGGGGTATTAATGTGTGAGCCCTGTGCACAGGGCTCACATCCACTTCCTCACAGGCCATCTTGGAACAAATCGTGGGTACCCCTTCTGGGAGTGAGGACATCAGTACTCGGATAGCAATTATGAATAGCACATAATTCTCCAATTGAATTGTTGTCAATTTCTGCATTGTGTCACTCTTGTTTAGTACATACCAAATAGTTCAGGTACAAAAATTATGGTTCTTCCATTTTCCAAATGTACAATTTTTTTCTTACAGTAATATTTCAAGCACTGCAGAGTCCACTGTCTCATAGTACTTGCAAATGCTAGTTGGTGCACATAGTGATTGCAATGCCACAGATTATGATTCTTGGCCCGACACTGCAAGCATCTCTTTCTAAATATCCAGGGGACACACACACAGGTATATTAATTAACACTTTAGACCGGGCATGACGCAGCATTGCGTCATCCGTTTACTGTCGGTAATCTCAGGGATGACGCAGCATTGCGTCATCCGTTTACTGTCGGTAATCTCAGGGATGACGCAGCATTGCGTCATCCGTTTACTGTCGGTAATCTCAGGGATGACGCAGCATTGCGTCATCCGTTTACTGTCGGTAATCTCAGGGATGACGCAGCATTGCGTCATCCGTTTACTGTCGGTAATCTCAGGGATGACACAGCATTGCGTCATCCACTAAAATAATTGGCAAAAATCAGGTTTTTATCCGATTTTGGGGGGACTGTTTCATAACTGTCAGCAGGCCGAATGCAATCTGTGACTACAATACAAACATGAAAGGTGTTGATCACTTTGACCAAATGATAAAATATTATCACTTCATAAGGAAAACTCACAAATGGACGAAGAAAATGACCATCTATTTTGTGCAAATGGCTATCTACAATCCTTATGTGATGTACAACAACTACTACTAGGGGAGCCGGTCGGCCGAGCGGACAGCACGCTTGACTTGTGATCCTGTGGTCCCAGGTTCGATCCCGGGCGCCGGCGAGAAACAATGGGCAGAGTTTCTTTCACCCTATGCCACTGTTACCTAGCAGTAAAATAGGTACCTGGGTGTTTAGTCAGCTATCACGGGCTGCTTCCTGGGGGTGGAGGCCTGGTCGAGGACCGGGCCGCGGGGACACTAAAAGCCCCGAAATCATCTCAAGATAACCTCAAGATAACACAAAAAATACTAAACTATAATACTACATATACTAAAATACTAAATACTAAACATTTGTGGGCAGGAATTGGGAGTGTAGCTGGAAGGCGTCTGGGTGCTCACTCGCGGTTAACGCGTGGCCCGTCTTCAAATCGTCGGCGGGTGGAGCGCGACCAGGTTTTTTTATTTTATATGCTAATGTTCCTCTAGAGAATTCTATTGCGAACCTATTGATACCAAAATGAAAGAACTAGGACAAAAATTTAGGTGACCAGAGTGAAAAGAGTGAACACATTTTATTGCTTTTGCGCGCTCCAGGGTAACTCGTTCGCACTTTCTCTGTTTGCTGCGGGTAATTAGCCGGGCTTTTGGAGTTTATATGCATTTAGTGCTGTAGAGAATTCTATTGCGAACACAATGATACCAAATTTAATCTCGTAGGACGAGAATTAAGGTGACAAAGTTGAAGAGAGTATACACTTTTCAGAATTAACGCGCGCTCCCGTGAAACTCTGGGACCCAAATCGCACAGTTGAGGGGTGGCGGGCGGGGCACGCCAAAGTGTTAAAGGGCTCAGGGACATCCAACAATGTCGCCACCTCAAAGAAGCCCTCAATTATAGCAAGACATCAAAATATATGGATCGATCAAATAGTTCTCTGAACTGTACCAGAATATCTTTCTAGAATGTAACATATTATAAATTTAATCAATAACTGTAAATAAATAGTTATCAAAAGAAGGTATTAAACTAGGAAGACTATGTAATTAAACGTAAATCTTCATTATCACATTAAAAAAAAATAATGACTTCAAATGAGAATCAATAAAATCCATAAACGCACCGGCTCTCCTTGAAGACAACGGTGACAATAGGTGCGATTAACCTGCATGGCATGGATGTTAGGTGACACCCCATCAATAGGGTCACAGTTCACCGGATACATAATGGCATGATTATTGCGTCGGCTTAACATCTGCAATAAACGCAAGGCATTAATATATGTAGATAAGATGAAGCATGTTTATTAATAATAACGTACCACCACATTTTTCTACTGGAAAACATACAAGAAATTATGGAGTAACTACCAAAACAATTAAACAGTAAATTGAAGAGGGGTTAGAGGATGTGATGTGGCCAGATATTTTCCTCATTTTCTTACTAAGGCCCTAGAAGGAAAGTGAGGGGCTCGGGACTTTTTTGTCAAAATGGGGGAGTGTTACTGACGGCCTGAGGAAGCAACTGTGAACCCCATGTATGTGCAAGACTTTTACATCTCAGGTAGTTCCCTACTACTTCATATGATGGGCTGCACAGTGTGAGCATATTTAGGTACACCATCATATGATGTGAAGCCGAAGGGTTAATTTTATAACAATCAGTTTTTGCATGATTTTTATAAAACATTTTATCTTTTGACAGACAAATTTAAGGGGTCAGTTTAGTTGAGTTCCAAACACTATTCTTGTTAATTTCTGAACATGTGACCTCCCTTATCCTGAGGGCTGTAGAGCAGCATCTTTGGGACTTTGCTGTAGAAACTTTATCATTCTCAAACTGTTTGCTTTTCTTCTCTAAGGTATTCATTCCTTGCCCCTCTGGTAATTATTCTATCTATTAATACTTAAACATTTTCCATCATTACACTCATGGTTAATCATCATCAGTTAATCATATATTTTTCAGTGTCCTCCCTATGGAAAGAAAGAAACTTTGTCAAGTGCTTCCCAACATTTCTGTGTGTGATAGAAATTCTTCTAATGCCTCATATTTCCCCTTTAGAATGCCAGCCTTCTAACCCCTGGATTTTCCTGAACCAATATTTCCTACTTCCACCAGATACTCAAATACTAAGAAAGTTTCTGACTCCTGCTAACAGGAGTAAAAATCATCTGCTTCTGTACCCAAGTGTAGAAAAAAATGAAATACTGTACGGTATTGGATGAAATTTGACCTATACCTAAACTCATGTCGAACATACCTTGAGATGTTAAATTGAGATGATTTCGGGGCTTTAGTGTCCCCGCGGCCCGGTCCTCGACCAGGCCTCCACCCCCAGGAAGCAGCCCGTGACAGCTGACTAACACCCAGGTACCTATTTTACTGCTAGGTAACAGGGGCATAGGGTGAAAGAAACTCTGCCCATTGTTTCTCACCGGCACCCGGGATCGAACCCGGGACCACAGGATCACAAGTCCAGCGTGCTGTCCGCTCGGCCGACCGGCTCCCTTTGCACATCAATATCAGACCTTAAGAGTCAGTGGTTCCCAAGAAATAAGTCACTGATCCTGGGTGTCCAGATGCCACCCTGTCATCATGTTCAGCAATAGCAGATTATAACACCCAAGAAATTAGCCTCTTAACAGGTATCTAAGACACTTTGGGAACCAGGTACATTATGTTATTCGAGGAGTGTTGCCCAATAACATTGCAATGGAGGGAGGCATAACATAATCATAATATATATGGTTATACTAGCATAATTCCTTTACAAACAGGTGGCATGTTTTGGTCTGTATACACAAGCACTCGAGTATGACCCATAATTTTTAACATTTTTGTATCTTTGTTAATATCTTGGCGAATACTGCATGTACAGCTTCCACTCTGGCATCATTTTATAGAACGTCTCTTCCCCTTTATATTCATAACATGTGTTTTCCAAAAACTGAATATATAAGAACTTATGAATAAAGGAAACTGCAGAAGGCTTATTATAACAAAGTACAAAGCAACTCCTATTTATATTGACCCAAACTCATTCATGCACAGTATACTGCATGTCTATCCTACATTTTGAGACAAGTGATTATTATGAGACCTGGTAATTTGTTCCATAGAATCCGATACCGTACTTTGGTATCGGTTAACCCTTAAACCCGCATGGCGTATATATACGCCCTGAGTAACATGTCCCATGGTGCGCATGGCGTATATATACGCCATAGGGTGCCAGGCCTGATTCAAATGGCCCGCGGCTACACGGGGCTCACAGTAGCTTCCTCAGGGCTCTTGTAAACAGATACCATTTAAAAAAAAAAATCGTGGGCAATATTCTCAGGTGTGAGAGGCACAGTACTGTTGGAGCAACCAAGGCCGGCGCACGCAGCATGAGCGAACAACATTGCTGTTCAGCTTGTGACCACAGCATCGCCGAAAATGTCAAAATAAATATATAATTGTTATTATTTAGCGATGACAATATTACAGATGACCCATGACTGTGATATAAATAACCAGGGTTGTGATAATAGCAGGATTGTTGTAATAATTAGCGCTGTGGGAGGAGTGATGCTGAGAGATGGAGGGAGACAGCATCGTTTACTGACTGTGTGGCTAGCTGTTATTGTTTGCATTCACCATACCAGGTCAGTGGTTCTCTATGGTGAACACAAATGTAGATACTTATATATAATGTGTGTATTAGTGTAATAACAGCAAAAGGATTATGCTGGGAGGAGCCATATGGGTGACGGAGGTGACGTCGTCTGCACGATTTGTCTAGCTGTTTAGAGGGTGGCCACTATGCTCTTTGGGCGCACTACAAGCTTAGGTGTACAGTTACGGTGCATAAAACATGTAGATATTTATATATAATATGTGTATATAGGGTAATAACACTGCAAAAGGTATTGTTGGGGGAGAAAGTTTAGTGCGTGTGACCTTGAAAGAGTGAGGGAGCCGCCAGCCGCCATCTGTGTATAGCGACGACTCTTAGTGCCTGAACTAACTATATCAGCTTAGCTGTACAGTTGTGGTGAACAAAATATATACATACTTATATATAACGTCTGTATATAGTGTAATAACACCACAAATGGTATTGTTGGGGGAGAAAGTTTAGTGCGTGTGTTGAGGGAGTGGCAGCGAGTGGCTGGCTGGTGTGTGGCGGTAACTCTTCGTTGCTTTTCGACTCTCAATACCAACTTAGTGGTTCGTTATGGTGACCAAAACATGCAGATACTTATATATAACCTGTGTATAGAGTGTAATAGCAGCAAAACTATTTGTTTATTGTTTTATAAACATAATAATTGAATCACTAATATGCACATCATACTTTTGAGTATAGCGATTATTCACCACTTTTATTATATAAATATATTACAATACACACTATTGAATAATATTACTGCAAAAAAACTAAGAAAAAATCAATCGGAGACATTGAAACAATTAGGTAATAATATCTTTGTGGCAACTCCCATCTGTCAGCGCGGGTGACGCTGACCGGGTCTGACGACCGCTCTGTCAACGCCCACTTTTTGCCAGACTTCCTCGGTCAATTGCGCCCAAAATATGTCACCTACGATTTTTTTTTTTTTTTTTCCGTGCTCAGGGGACACAAATTAACATGTTTAGAAGACGAAAAAAAAAATTTGAATTTTTTTTTTCTTGCGCACAGGGGTGTAAATGTCCCAAGGACCCCTGAGCAGTGTAAGGGTTAATAAGAGCTCAGTACTGTAACTAGTGACTTTACCATAACCTCAGCGAGTTAAAATACAACAGCCAAGGAAACAATATAAATACTGTATAGCACGCTATTTTTATTTAAAACATTAATTTAAACATTAATTAACTTATGTTAACAAGAAAACACAACATAAAATTGCACCCACCTGAGTGGCAACGCGACCTTGTTGCACTCGTGCTTGTAGAACATCGATATCAATCATTACCCTTGGCTGCACCAATGGTCTTTTCTGTAAAACATAAAAACTTTAATGTGCAACTGATTACTAGATTAGAATATGTTTTGGTTAACTTTCATACAACTCGAGAATCAAACTAGGCTGCACTTAACCAATTACAGCTCAACAGTAATAATACCTTTGCCTGCTTTGAAATTACTATACATATTGTAAATAGCAAATGTATGATTACATATACAGTATGTTCCTGTTTTAGGGCACTATCAGTATAATATTTACAACCACTTTAATATGTCCTCCAATAATGAACTACTGTATGAATCATATATATCATCCTAGACTAATCAGTGGACAGATTATAGCACAGTTCTCTATACAATATACTGTACGAGCTTGCTTACCCAAAGCCTGCCGATCCCAATACTATTTGGGTTATCTTACTTTGCGATGATTTCGGGGTTCAACATCCCCGCAGACTGGTCCCCAACCAGGCCTCCTGGTAAATTCATTATCCCCAACAATGGTCATGGGAAACCTCCCTGACCATTATCTGATGAAAATTGCGACCGGATATTTTTCTGGCAAAACTTCGTCATATCCAAATAGCCATTCAAATAACCAGAGATTTTGCTCAATACCAAAGACAGGCATTGGGCCATTCCATTAATCCCATACAGCAATGGCTCAGGGCAGGAGATATGGAAGGTGTTGGGGTGGCTGGTTTTGGAGTAGAGGGTGCCGGGAAAGATAGGGAAGAGTTGGAAAGGACTGTCTGGGGAATGAGGGGACTATGATCTGTGTTGTATAGGATAACCAAAGAACTATGTTAAAACAATTCATTGCAGTAAAAAGTAAAGAAACATCTAATATGCAGGCGATGAATCACAATAACGTGGCTAAAGTATGTTGACCAGACCAGTATGTTGACCGAAACGTCGTCGTCCCTTCACCTTCTAGTGTGTGGTCTGGTCAACAAACATCTATTATTAAAACAAATACAAATTTCTTAAAAACTATATGTACAGACTGTAACTTCCTGCTAAACTTTAGGGATTTGTTTTCCACCTGGCGGCCTACATCACTGTCTGCCCCAGGTAGACTCGGCCAGGTCACATGCTCTCAACCTTAATGTTATACCACAGTGGCGGCCTACATCACTGTCTGCCCCAGGTAGACTCGGCCAGGTCACATGCTCTCAACCTTAATGTTATACCACAGTGCCATGCCATTAGTGAAACATTTTCTTAATAACATTTTTGTTTTCATAGTAACTTTGATAATTTTTTGCCAAGACTGTGTCTGGTAGCAGTAGCAAGTAAAGACAGCCTAGCCTAATGATACTTTCAGATTTAACCAATAGAAAATAAACTTTGTCAAAATGTTTGTGTACAATTTGACCATACACCCACAGTGGCACCTCCAAAATTTAGATTAAGTCATTCCATACCCAAACCAGACTTGCAAATAATCTAGATATTTTGCCTTAATTGGTTACTTAGCACCATGAGTTGAAAGTCTTTTTAAATCAAGTAACCAAAAGACAAGTCTGCCCTCAGTCCAGGATTTGGGTAGAATTCTTGAGATTGATGCAAAGAATATTAACCACTGCACTGCGCAAAGCGCCTTTAGGCGCTCGGAGAGTTGTGCTTTTTGTTTTTTAATTTGGCTATATTTTAATGTTTTTTAATGTTTTCATTACTATTTGTGTTTTAAAATGGAAATAGTTGACTTTGGAAAAATTTTGACATTAAATTTACCTGAACATTTGTAAAAATAACAAAAATATGTCCTTGACAATGGCACCAAGACGTTTTTGCCGAAAATAGGTGAGCAGTGCAAGGGTTAAATAAATAGCAAATGACAGAACAGCAATACCTATATATTTAGATGGAAATGGTAGTAAAATGCAGTTATGCTGTATATGAATTACCATACAATTGTCTTTAACTACTGTACTGCGCCACATTATAATATGACACCCCCGTTGTGCACCAAACAAAAATTATTTTGTCTTCTTATATTGTTAAAATGCAGTCTCTGATCAACTAAAATAAAATATTGTATGTGACATACTTTGGTTTTGATGGAGCTAAAAATTTGAGCAATTTATGGGTGCTGAGTACTCACATAGGTGTACTCACCTAGTTGTGCTTGCAGGGGTTGAGCTCTGGCTCTTTGGTCCTGCTTCTCAACTGTCAATCAACTAAAGAGTGACTAGGCTCGGACACGCTCGACCACGCTAACCGTGGGGCAGCAGTTGCCGCGAATGTAATTTTTTAGCATTATTTCAATGAATCTTTATTCATTTCTTCTCTGTTTTTTTGCTGTAATATTATTCAAGTGTGTAATTTGTGGAATTTATATACAGTGGTTCAATGTGTGGAACATCGCTATGCTCAAAATTATGAAGCTCATATATGGTGACACGTATACAGTACTGTATTATATTCTAAGATCAATCAATCGATGTTTTTGCCACACCCCCGCTCTTGTGCCAGGTAATTCCACTACAGGCTCACCATAGCCCATGCTACTTGGAACTTTTGTTCCGAGTAGCTGAATCTAAAACAACAACAACAGTGTGTGTGTTTGCTGTTATTATACTATATACACATGTTATATATAACTATTCACATTTTTGTGCATCATAATGAGCCACAAAGATCACGTGTTGAGTTTTTATAAACAGAACAAAAACCCAGGGTCAGCCTAGGGGCCGACCGCAAGTATTGCAGGGGCAACACTCGCTGCCAAATACATTTTGACATAATTATTTCAGTGTCTATGAATGGTTTTAAATCTAGTTTTTTTGCAGTAATATTATTCAATAGTGTGTAATTTATATAGTTAAATGTGTAGAACATCGCTATTCTAAAAAATATGGGGTTCATATATATATAAGAACATAAGAACATAAGAACAAAGGTAACTGCAGAAGGCCTATTGGCCCATACGAGGCAGCTCCTATTCTATAACCACCCAATCCCACTCATATACTTGTCCAACCCGTGCTTGAAACAATCGAGGGACCCCACCTCCACAATGTTACGCGGCAATTGGTTCCACAAATCAACAACCCTGTTACTGAACCAGTATTTACCCAAGTCTTTCCTAAATCTAAACTTATCCAATTTATATCCATTGTTTCGTGTTCTGTCCTGTGTTGATACTTTTAATACCCTATTAATATCCCCCCGGTTATGTCCATTCATCCACTTGTAAACCTCTATCATGTCACCCCTAACTCTTCGCCTTTCCAGTGAATGCAACTTAAGCTTTGTTAATCTTTCTTCATATGAAAGATTTCTAATTTGGGGAATTAACTTAGTCATCCTACGCTGGACACGTTCAAGTGAATTTATATCCATTCTATAATATGGCGACCAAAACTGAACTGCATAATCTAAATGGGGCCTAACTAGAGCAAGATATAGCTTGAGAACCACACCAGGTGTCTTGTTACTAACGCTGCGATTAATAAATCCAAGTGTCCGATTTGCCTTATTACGAACATTTATGCATTGATCCTTTTGTTTTAAATTCTTACTAATCATAACTCCCAGATCCCTTTCGCAATCCGACTTCGCAATCACAACACCATCTAGCTCGTATCTTGTAACTCTATCATCATTACCTAACCTCAGAACTTTACATTTATCAGCATTAAACTGCATCTGCCAATCCTTTGACCATTTCAAAACCCTTAAACAAAACCCTTATATATACACATAAATTATATTCTTAGATCAACCAAACTGTTCTTGGTGTTATTATTATGATATATACATAAGTTATATATTACCATAACATTTATATGCACCATAACAAACTAATATGCAGTTTTGGTGGGTATGGTGATGAAATCAAAACACAGCATAGAGCCACATAATAGAAGCAGATGACGTCAGCAGACGACGTGTCTGGCGTCAGTCACGTGATGCAAGACAATGCCTCTAGTATTCTACACATTTCGCTACGACTAGCTACAAAACTGCTGTTATTATCACATTCCTGTTGCAAAATCTTGAATATGAATCCAATCCACAGGGTTATATTGTGTAGGAACGTGAGATCATTTCATGATGCATAGATGCAGGAAACAATGGCTGTGTCTGTACCTCATGCTGTGAGGTACAACTAGCATTGTATTTACTGATATCTGAACGTTGTATTAATTACATACAGGATCATCTATGGCACTATCAATGCAAAATAATTAGTTACCTATTTTATTCATCATTACTAAGTGGTGCTGTGGCCCCTAGCTGCACAGTAGTGCTGTGAGCTGCTCTTGCATGCACCAGCCTTGGTCACGCTCTCAGTTTTATGGCTCTCACAGCCAATGCAGATGTTGACAATTTTTTTTTTTTTCAAGATGGCATCTGTTTACCGGAGTCCTGAGGAACAGGATGTAAGCCCCATATACTCTCAGAGTTTTGAATCGCTCCCTATACCTAAAGTGCCATATGGCGCTATGCACACCTCGATCTGGCACCTTAAAGTGCTCTGCACAGTGTAGTGGTTAAAAACATTTTCACAGTGTCGGAAAAGCACACTTTAAAGTTAAATAAATTTGCACAATAAATCCCTAAGCTTTTTAGCATTGCAAAATTTCATAAGAAATATGTTATTAAAGGAGCAACAAAAATCAATCTTCAAAAAAACATTCGCATCAGATTTTAGATTTTCTTAAACAATAATCAAACCCAACATAACCTAACTCACCCATGCTGAGTAAGGTTCAAAAACAGCCCAAAGCAAAGGCCTTCTATGTAACTGCTACATTTTATACCATACTGAACCTAACCTATCCCAGCCTGGGCTAATCTTACCTTGCCTTGCTTAGCCTACCCTAACTTAGCTTAGCCTAACAAAAACAAATTTTGGTTTATAATGCGCATGAGACGGGCGAGAGCAGTTTTAAGTCTGTGACAATTTTTGGATATTACGGACCTAACCAAGCTCAATATAAGGATATAGTTTTCAAATTTAGCAAATAAACGATGTTCAAAACACCTTCGCAGGATTTAATGGGACCCGGGGCCTCACACTCAGCAGACACTGGTCACTTTGCCTCAAAACCATTCATTCTATGGATAATAAAACCTACCATACCTACATATCATAACCCAACCTAATGTAAATAAACCCAGCCTAGCCTAACGACATATAGTTTAAACAAGAATGACATTGTTGTAAGGCGGAGTGAACGACACGAGGGGCCCGGACCTGGCTCCAAGGGGCCCAGCTGACCTTGGTCCACCACGCGGCACACTGCCAAAAGAATATATATACCACCACCCACAGGTCTCCAAACACCGAACATGGAATACTTGACACTGTTTTCACGGTGCGAGAACGCGTTTGCGTGCGGAAACGAGGCGTAAAAGCAGGTGTAGCGACAGGTGTTCTTTGTGTGGTTAGGAAGACACGCGGCGGCTCCTGGCCGTCGCCTTCCTGCTGGCTATGGCTGACCCACTCCCTCTTACACCCACCAAATATGAGAGAGACACTCCTAGCTCGCCCTGGCTCGCGAGCTCAGGGTGTGGAGGGCGCTCAGCGCTTACCGCTCGCCGGTCCTCGCAGTCAAATTCACATTTTCTCTTGTGTGAGGCTGAGGTAGAGAAGCACGCGGCGTCGTCCAGCTTCATGTTGATGCCGGGTTCAAAACAAACACTCGCGGTCAACAATATTTCTCGCTCTGTTATCATTCCGTCTAAACCATCTTTTACACTATATTTCTGTCTCACAAAAAATTATTGACTGGCTTTTTACTTCAAACAAATTTTATCAACTTACTTTTAATTCTGTTGTTGTTGTTAGAAAATTTACAAATATGTATTTGTAAACACTTTATGTTTCTCTCTTGAAAATTAGGCTTTAAGCCGATGGCCGAAGATGGCAATATTCAGGGGAATAAAAATCCTCATTTCCCCCCTTGTAAAAATTCCTTTATATAACCACATGCTTCCCGACATTATGTTACACACCTGCGAACAACCTGTACACCTCTTGAGAACTCTTGAAAGATTCATAAGGTCCATTATACTCTAGCAGAACACCCCCCCGTAGTGTAACGCAACTTTAATGTGTACCCAACATGTACTGAGGGCAGCCATGGCCGCCTTCCGTACCGGGGGGGCCTCGGTACTAAATTTAGTGGAATCCACTAAACTAGTAATTACTTTACTAGTATCCACTAAGTGGATACTTAGTCATTGGGTACGGAAGACGAAGCGCCCACATATATTTTTTTACCATTTCGGACCCAAAATTTGTACATTTCGTATATAATAATCGTTTATATATATATATATATCATTGGTCGATATTAAAACCACAATATAATGTTTTTAACAACTATAATCTTCTGCCTAACAGGCATATGGTTATTAAATGAAGTTGAGTGATGTGATGGACATAATTCGGGTTTCTTAAGAACTGTTAACACAACACAAACATGATCGAACGCACAAAACACTAGATCGTAGCCAGTGTTTGGGTAAACTCCCATCACATTTATTATGTGATAGTTATATTTGTATATAATAATAATTATTAAAGGTAAACGCCTAACATGTAATATTAATCAATAAAAACAAAGTCAGAAGCCACACGTATGTCTCCACATGTCTTATGTGATAATTTTGGGCGTTATTGTATTTGTGCGCTAGCTGGCGTTCACGACTAATCTCACATTCAAGGACTAGACTTTATTTATTTTTGTATATATTTATTTATTTATTTAAAAATACAAGAAGATACTGTGGGTTTATGAGAGTACATAGCATTGATATTTTTACATTCTTGTAAAGCCACTAACACGCCTAGCATTTCGGGCAGAAACGTCAATTTAGTAGATTTATTTAATCAACTTAGTCGTTGGCAGCAACGTTAGATTTAGTAAATCATAATGATAATAATGTTTATTTATTTAGGGGAATAAATTTCTGGGCCTACTAAAAATTAATGGGCCTCAGAAATAATCAAAACATTATATTAATTCATTTTTTCTTGTATTAGAAATATAAAACAGATGAGTACTCTATACAAGTCTCCCCATGGAGTTGTGAATGGGGTCATCTTGGTACAAAGGCGACTGATTTCAAGGTGTAGTTACTTGGCACGTATGGAGTTGAGTTGGAGTCGTTTTGAGTTGTTGAGTCGTTTAGCTAGATAGGTATGTAGGGATCTGGCTGATGATGGATCGTAGAGGATCACTAGGTTTATGGATATTGAAATTACCGTAAATGTATCTAAGGATTTAGTCACCCAGATAGACGGAGTAGCTATGGGGTCCCTACTAGAAGTCCTCTTTGCTAACTTCTATGTGGAAACATTATAAGACACCGTCTTCAAATCCACAGGGAAATATTTGTATGTATGAAAGTCCTCCTGGAATTGTCGCCATTAAAGGATGTACTTACCCAAAACCCAGTGTTTAATCGACTTGAGAATGGTCCAGGACGGACCGAAACGTCGTCGTCCCTTCATTTTCTAGTGTGTGGATTGGTCAACATCAGTGTTTAACTTTACCCGTGAACTGAGTGAGAGCACTGATGGTGTGCTCCCTTTTCTTAATGTCTACGTGTGACCCAAAGACAACACTTTCACCACAAAAGTCTATACTAATCCCACCAACATTGGAATATGTATGTATGGTCACTCCGAATGTCCGGACTAGAGTGATAAACGCATGCAGATGATGAGTCACAATAACGTGGCTGAAGATATGTTGGCCAAACCCCACACACCAGAAGATGAGGAGACGACGACGTTTCGGTCCGTCCTGGACGACCATTATCAAGTCGATTGTGTTGCATATAAAAGCATTTATACCCAGAGTCGTCACTCGTTGTTCTGACTGGTATAACATCCACAAGGAACTGGACAGAAGCCTTCAAGTATTAATAAACAACGGGCACACGACTAGAGAAGTTAACACCAATATCAGAAGATATATATATAATAAACAAATAAATGTTTATTCAGGTAAGGTACATAGATACAAGAGATTTTACAAAAATTGATAATGTAATCTCTCTCTCTCTCTCTCTCTCTCTCTCTCTCTCTCTCTCTCTCTCTCTCTCTCTCTCTCTCTCTCTCTCTCTCTCTCTCTCTCTCTCTCTCTCTCTCTCTCTCTCTCTCTCTCTCTCTCTCTCTCTCTCTCTCTCTCTCTCTCTCTCTCTCTCTCTCTCTCTCTCTCTCTCTCTCTCTCTCTCTCTCTCTCTCTCTCTCTCTCTATATATATATATATATATATATATATATATATATATATATATATATATATATATATATATATATATGTCGTACCTAGTAGCCAGAATGCACTTCTCGGCCTATTATGCAAGGCCCGATTTGGCTAATAGGCCAAGTTTTCATGAATTATTTGTTTTTCGACTACTTAACCTGCCTAACCTAACCTAACCTAACTTTTTCTGGTACCTAACCTAACCTAACCTATAAAGATAGGTTAGGTTAGGTTAGGTAGGGTTGGTTAGGTTCGGTCATATATCTACGATAATTTTAACTCCAATAAAAAAAAATTACCTCATACATAATGAAATGGGGTAGCTTTATCATTTCATAAGAAAAAAATTAGAGAAAATATATTAATTCAGGAAAACTTGGCTTATTAGGCAAATCGGGCCTTGCATAGTAGGCTGAGAAGTGCATTCTGGCTACTAGGTACGACATATATATATATATATATATATATATATATATATATATATATATATATATATATATATATATATATATATATATATGTCGTACCTAGTAGCCAGAACGCACTTCTCAGCCTACTATGCAAGGCCCGATTTGCCTAATAAGCCAAGTTTTCATGAAATAATTGTTTTTCGACGACCTAACCTACCTAACCTAACCTAACCTAACTTTTTAGGCTACCTAACCGAACCTAACATATAGAGATAGGTTAGGTTAGGTTAGGTAGGGTTGGTTAGGTTCGGTCATATATCTGCGTTAATTTTAATTCCAATAACAAAAAATTGACCTCATACATAATGAAATGGGTAGCTTTATCATTTCATAAGAAAAAATTAGAGAAAATATAATAATTCAGGAAAACTTGGCTTATTAGGCAAATCGGGCCTTGCATAGTAGGCTCAGAAGTGCGTTCTGGCTACTAGGTACGACATATATATATATATATATATATATGTCGTACCTAGTAGCCAGAACTCACTTCTCAGCCTACTATTCAAGGCCCGATTTCCCTAATAAGCCAAGTTTTCCTGAATTAATATATTTACTATAATTTTTTCTTATGAAATGATAAAGCAACCCTTTTCTCTATGTATGAGGTCAATTTTTTTTTATTGGAGTTAAAATTATCGTAGATATATGACCGAACCTAACCAACCCTACCTAACCTAACCTAACCTATATTTATAGGTAAGGTTAGGTTAGGTAGCCAAAAAAAGCTAGGTTAGGTTAGGTTAGGTAGGTTAGGTAGACGAAAAAACATTAATTCATGAAAACTTGGCTTATTAGGCAAATCGGGCCTTGAATAGTAGGCTGAGAAGTGCGTTCTGGCTATTAGGTACGACATATATATATATATATATATATATATATATATATATATATATATATATATATATATATATATATATATATATATATATATATATATATATATATATATATATATATATATATATATATATATTAGTATATTTTGGTAGCAGTCTTTCCTGTAGACATATATTATTAAATATGACCGAAAAAGTAAGATTAATAATTCTAACACGAATTTTCTCAATCTTTCGTACATTTCTTTTCACTGTTGGTGGTAATTCAAAAATCAATTCTCCAAAATTCATTTTTATTTCTAGTCTGACGCGACACTTGAGCGCGTTTCGTAAAACTTATTACATTTTCAAAGACTTTAGTTAACACATACACAACTGAATAGAACTAATAGAACTTACACATCTCCGATTTTGTTTATATCTACATTTGAGTGAGATGGATGGGGTGAGGTGGTATTTAATAAGGTATTAATTTCATCAACACAAGCCAGAACATGAAACAATGGGTATTGAATAGAAGTGATTGTTGAAAGCCTATTGGTCCATTTTTCTTGATGCTTCTATATTGGAGCGGAGTCTTGAGGTGGGTAGAATATAGTTGTGCATTAATTGGCTGTTGATTGCTGGTGTTGACTTCTTGATGTGTAATGCCTCGCAAACGTCAAGCCGCCTGCTATCGCTGTATCTATCGATGATTTCTGTGTTGTTTACTAGGATTTCTCTGGCGATGGTTTGGTTGTGGGAAGAGATTATATGTTCCTTAATAGAGCCCTGTTGCTTATGCATCGTTAAACGCCTAGAAAGAGATGTTGTTGTCTTGCCTATATACTGTTTTTTTTGGAGCTTACAGTCCCCAAGAGGGCATTTGAAGGCATAGACGACGTTAGTCTCTTTTAAAGCGTTCTGTTTTGTGTCTGGAGAGTTTCTCATGAGTAGGCTGGCCGTTTTTCTGGTTTTATAGTAAATCGTCAGTTGTATCCTCTGATTTTTGTCTGTAGGGACAACGTTTCTATTAACAATATCTTTCAGGACCCTCTCCTCCGTTTTATGAGCTGTGGAAAAGAAGTTCCTGTAAAATAGTCTAATAGGGGGTATAGGTGTTGTGTTGGTTGTCTCTTCAGAGGTTGCATGGCGTTTCACTTTCCTTCTTATGATGTCTTCGACGA